AGTAACCATCCATTTACATTCTATTTTTAGTCGAATTATTAAAACCTCTTTGAATCTCTACATACCACTACAATTTGATTAACCCTTTTAGTGTTCTTATGATTACAAGTAATGTAAATAAATGAAGCCTGACAAATAGTGAGTATCCTGTTTGTGACAGCTACTACTAATGCCCCACTTTCACAAACAATGAAATGTTCTAAAGCAAACACGAAGAAAGTATACTTAAGAATCCAGACCTTAGTTTCCCATGTTGCTACTTCTACTCATTTAACCTCCTTTACTCTTTGCCTACTTTCCTTGGAAGCCCATATATCACAACCACTGAGTGGCCTATAACTACTTTGTTTGGATGATTTTACTTGGTAGTAACTCAGCCTAAAATAAACAACTACTACATGGTGGTCTTGTTTTCATCAGACTGCAATAGCAGAGATGCCAGTCATTGATTCACAACTCATATTTCCTTCTTAAGATAGTGTCCAAACTTCAGCCTTTGAAAGAAAGCTCTTGAGTGTTCCATGCCACAACAAACCTATACTAGGTTGATCAGCCTCTTTTTTCAAAAAAAAAAAAATTGGAATCAGATCACAAAACTGAAAGAGCATGGAAAAAAAAGGACTGACTCAGCATTAAGGCAAGGTAAGATGACATCATAAAGGAAGAAAACTGAATAAGTAGACTGGCAAGACTGCAGAGAAAAGCAAAGTACCCAAGAGAAACAAACAAACAGTAGGAGCCCTAGAAGACATAGATGAAACTGTAATGGTTCCCCCCATGTGGTCTGCATCATTTCATATTTGTGGTGTTGTATCCCTTCAATAAATCCCACTTTCACTTCAGCTGTTCTGTTTTTGTTTCCACAGTTAAATGAAAATTTGAGAAAGACTATCAATCTCATCAGTATTAGTCCTAAAAGAGCATCCATGTTCTGGCAGAAATACCACACCAGCAATTTTGTTATCAAAGAAAAGATGTTGTCTCCTTGTTATAGAAGCTGCTGTCAAAAACAGGTGCCTAGAGTAAACAGGTAGGTGAGAGAAGGAGGCTGGCACCTTTAGGTTTTCTTCTTCTTCTTTAGACACGTTTATTTTCATATTAACTGGATAAAATTTTTCCTTCTTCAAAAACACATTCATTTGCTCTCTCCCATTTTTCTTGGATTACCTTTTATTTTCTGCGTTCCACAAAGATGAGAGTATGTCTTAGTCCATTTCTCTTACTATATCACAATACCTGAGACTTAGTAATTTATAAAGAACAGAGATTTATTTAGCTCAAGGTTTGGAGACTGGGAGTCCAAAAGCATAGTGCTAGTATCTGTTAAGTGCCTTCCTGTTCATTTATAACCCCCAAACAAAGCATTAAAACTTTGAATTACAAGCATCACATGGCAAGGCAGAATAAATATGCTGCATAAGCTTGGATTTATCTTTCTCTTCTTATAAAGCCACTAAGGCCATCATGGGTACCCCACCCTCACAACTTCACCTAATCCTCATTACCTCCCAAAGGCTCCACCCCTATTATATCATTAAATATGAATTTGGGGATTAAGTTTCCAAAACAAATCTGGAAGGGCATATTCAAATCATAGCAGGATACATGAAAAGAAAGACTAGAGGTGATGGTACATATCAAGGGACATTCAGCCTTGCTGACTAAGAGGTTATAGAGGAGGGTGGTAATGGTAAAGTAGGAAGACATTTTCTACAAAAACAAAACAAAACAAAAAAATCATTACTGAGTCTCCGGCAACTATCACCATTATATGGTCTAACCTGAAATTTACAAGAGAAGACAACAATCTAGATTTTTATGTAAAGTCTCCTAGTTGTAAAATGTTAATAAATTAATTTTCTTCTACAATAAAGTGGGTCAGTTCACTGGCTGTTGAATTATAATTCTATTGTAGACTTTAGCATCATTTAAAACTTCCTATATTTCTAGCTTCCCTAAATTATGTTTAACATCTATAATATGAAAAGCCTTCGACTATGTATTAGGCAAATCACTATCAAAGTTGAACCTCATGTATTTTTCTAGGCACATGATTTAAAATTGAATGTTGTTCCTCAGCAACAACTTAAAACAAGTCTTAATTAACATTAAATGCCAAATCACACTACCTACTCTAACAGGACAGCAACACAAACTCTTCATAGTTCACTACCTAGAGTAGGTTGAAAAACCACTTGCATATGCTGTCAGTTCCTTAAATATCACACTGTGCCCTTCTTCCACAATATACAACTTCCTTATCATCCTGAACTTAACCCTCAGAACTCACTGCACACTACTGAAATCATGTCTTTATTGTTTTTCTCTCCAAGCAGACTATAAATACCTTAAGGATAAGGTCTAAATCCTTGGGACTGTATATCTGGAGCTAAATATTAAAAAAATGGACCATGTGGTAGAACACTGAAAGTATTGTTTAGTAGACCACCTTTGATCCAAGGAGGCTACCATGTACCAGGCACCTAACAGATGCTCATTCCTTTACTCAAATAATATTAGTGAAGTGGTGAATAACATAGATTCATCCTTCTCAATAAACATTTCAGTTAAAAGAATGAAATAAATGAGGGGGGATTTGCTAGACATAAATAAATGTATATATGTCCTCTAGTTCACTAACATTAAAGATGTACAGCTTAATGCAATTAATTTAGTATTTTTATCCAACCAAATAAGGACAATACCAAATTTACTAGGTTGTTGTGAAAAGTGAATAAAAGGCAGTCATAATTCATAAAAATGCTGCCAAAAAAAACATCTTTTAGGGAAACCAAAACTCTAAAAATACTTCCAAATGACAAATTTTTAAATCTCAGATGTGCGAAAGAGGAAACAGTTCAATAATTATTGCTTAATTTATACAGTTTACAGTTATCCAAATAGTTGTTTAGCTTTATAAATCATAGGGTTTTGTTTTGTTTTTAATCAAACTCTAAAAAACCCTGTCTATATATAAAGAAAAACACCATTGCAAATTCATGTTTGCTATGCAAGTATTCATCACAGCAAAACAAAAACTTGTAAATGCTAATATATTAGGAGATATATTTGGGCTCAGTGTTTGGAAAAAAAAAAAAAAGTGTGCAAATTTTCCAAATAACAGACCAATCTAACAACACAACTTCAAATGTAGAATAAAACTCCCCTCCTCAGAATTAAGGTTGCTAATCAACTGACTTGAAAATGAAGAGATTGATTATGGTGGCTTATCCAGGTAGGCCCTGGAAGAAGGAAAGCAGGAGGGAGTGGCAAGAGAAAAATAATGTGAAAAATAATGGACCAGCCATTGGTGACTTTGAAGATGGAGGAGAGCCATGAGTCAAAGAATCTGAGAGGCCTTAAGAAGCTGAAAAAATCAAGGAAACAATTCTCTCCCAGAGCCTCCAGAAAAGAATAAAGACTCTGCCTGATGTTAGGCTTACTGAGATCCATTTTGCATTCTGACCTCCCAAACTATAAGATAATGATTTGTCTATGGCAGTAGCAACAACAGGAAATTAATTCAGTTTGCCTTGGAATGTAGTACTCTTTCCCTTACAGATGATGTTAGACAACTCTGGTGTTGTTCATGGTGCACCTCTGTTGGGTGGGGGTAGGGGTAGGGGTAGGAGAGTGGTGAGTAGGTAAAACAGTGAAGATACATCAGATAAACACTGCCTAAGTGAAATTGTGAAAGCAGAAGGAATTAAATTGGTTCTAAGGAAAACGTCTAAAACTGCATGCACATTCATGTAAGTTCTTTTCTTTGTAGTCTGGAGCATTCAAAGATTTTAAAAAGGATTTTTTTATAAGCAAGAGTAAGCACCTTTCTAGATTATTTCCAACAGGTGGCTTTTAACATTCCATGATTTTCTAAGGCAGTAAGTCTCAATCTGTAGACCATCTAACCCCCAAACAAAGCATTAAAACTCACTTAAGGTTGTTAGTAAAATGCAGAGTCCCAAACTCCACCTGAAACAGAATCTCTGAGACCTGTGGGAAAGCTCAATTCTTTTAACAAACTGAGAGATGGGGGACAGAATAATATACACAATAAAAGAACCACTGCTCTAAGGAATGTTGTACAAAACATTAGAGATTGAAATAAATTGTTTCCATCACCCAATCTTTAAGAACCTCAGTCATTTTGCTGATTATTGTAAGTCGTTATTTTTTCTGAACCTCAGGCAGCCGAGGTAGACAATTCCACCTAATTTTTTAGATGAAAATTCATTCTGTAGAGTGCCAAGAACGATGACTAGTAGGTAATACTATCAAACTAAAAAAACGTTAAGTTTTATCTTCCAATACTTCACTCCAAACCCCTATTCCAGACTCCTGGTTTAAGAAAGAATAATGCCTGGCATGCATTTTACATACTGTCCTGCTAAATACTGGAAGAATTATGTTTTTGTGCCAATATCATTACTAGTCAATTTTCTATAATCCACTTAGTTTCCCGTCCTAAATTTTCATTTTTCAAGCGAATGTTTTACTTGAAACATTCTCCTAATCATCCCAAGTTAAATCTTATAAATTACGTATCATCAGGTGGGGCTATAAGACAGGCAGCCAAGACCTCAAATCTCCTAAAAGGGACAGGCCCTGAGAATGAATAAGAACAGCTAGTAGCGGCCTTAAAATCTAAGCAACCTTACGCAGTTTTTCTCGGTCAGAGATTCTTGACAACAGTAAAGGTATCTGAGATGTGAATAGGAAGGGGTCCTAGAGAAGGACGTTTAAAGCAAACCTCTCTCGGTGCCTCACAAACAGACCAAATTCCAAAGCAAGGTCATAGAGAAACCATACCAGCCCGGGTGCGGGAGTCCAGCTCTCTCAGCTCCCAAGACATCCCTTTGCGGCACGCATTAGACCCAGCCAGCAGACCCCTCTCAGAAGGGGATAAGGCACCTTCATACCCAGACCGAGGCCTTGAAGCAAGAATGCGTTCAGGCCCATTGCTCAGCTCCAGAGAAAATGAGCGAGCCTCGGCCACTCACCCCGCAGCCAGTGAGTGCTGTGAAACCATCTCCAGCTAGCTCCACGGCCGACAGACCACCCGGCAGCGGCCCTGGCCATCCCCATGCTTCGACGGCCGCCGAGGCCAAGAAGGTAACGAAGAAGCGGAGGGTCACAGCCCAGCTTCCAGGAGGCCGCCATCTTCCCGGCTTTCCCCCCGGCTGCCCGCAGCACAGCCTGATCGCCAGCCTCAGGGCCCTCCCAGGCCCCGCCTTCTCCCGCTGGTCACGCCCCCTCGACGCCCGCCTAGCGAGTGGATCTCGCTGGCTAGCCCTCTTAGCCCCGCCTCCAGCCTCATTGGCCACGCCTCCCGGCCGGGCAGCAACACTAAAGCCTCTCCCAACCCGCGAGGCCCTCCCAGATTCCGCCTCCCTACTTGTACGCTCCGCCCCCGAGATGCCCCTGTCGCCGCCTGATTGCACTGTGGCCTGGCCGCGGTAGACCGGGCGGAGCGCTGGGTGCAGAACCGTGTGGAGGCTGGAAATCGTGGGTGCCCCTCGTCCGGACCATGTCTGGCTGCCACGGTCCGGAGGGAGACCGCTGCTCACGGCAATGCGTCGCGCAGGTAGGGGCGGGGCCGCCGGCGCCGCTCTTCCTAGGCGGCAGGGCGCTGGCGCGGGGTCGCGAGCCGCAGGGTCGTGGGCGGGGCTTCCGCGGGTGCGAGCGAGGCCCTGCGGCCTGGCTGCGCTCTTGACTGCGGGAGCTGGGCCGCAGACTGAAAAAGGAAGAGTGACAGTGAGGAGCGCATTTGGGCCGCTGTCGCATGCATGTCGGGATGACAGACCGAAGGAGTCTTGAGGCACTGGAGTGGAACTGGAGCGAAAGCGGAGCTCTTCGAGCTTCTTTTCTGCGCCTGGCGACCAGCTCCACGATGCTGAACTGCAGCTGGGCCTCCGGAGCCTGCACCCTTTAGTAGAGTTGCTCCTTACTGACTGTTTAGATGAATAACTGGGTGATTCTGCCTAACGATTCTTCCTTGAGCAGAAGTCAGGCTGCAGGTTTATCATTCACTTATACACAACCAACAATCTTACTGGAAGCCTTAATGAACGCCTCTGAGTGTCCAGAGAATGATGAATATGACAGATGGCCCAGAGTCCAGAGGAGAACTAGACCAATTAACAAATTCAGTATAATGCATAAGAGGCAGGAAAAGCCCCCTAAGCTTAGTTCTCTGATCAAAGGGCTGAAGGTCTCACTGGGAAGATTTTATTACTAAGCATTTGTAAACCGTTATGTTGTTTTGAGTAAGTAACTTCTCCCAAATTAGCAAACACGACAGGTTAGAATGCTGGATAGACATGATTGTATGAGGAAGATGATGATCTTGGATACAGGACAGATCACTGGAGATCATTTTGAGACAGATGGGTTTGGAGAATAAGGAAAGTGAAAGCAGTCCATTAGAAGAAACATTGCTAAGACATTTTAGCACATGTGTACATGCCCCCAGTAATTAGATCTTTGGCAGTGTCTAAGAGAGCAGCATGTCTAAGCTTCAAAGAGCCTAAAACAATAAAACTAAGAATAAACTAAGATTCTTAAACCAAAAATGGCCACAGGACAACATGTAGAACAGGCATCTTTTATTTGCTTCAGTCAATGGTCATGAAAAATGTGAGCTACTTTTTCAGAGTCCAGAACAATCTTGGCTTCTATTGAAATTTAAGAGCATTTGGTGTGACTGGACCCTTATTTCTTCATGGGGTCTGGATTGAACTGACAAATAGTTACTTATTTAACCCAAGGCATGTGCTTCCACTCCTCAAACTAGATTTGCATGTACATTTAAATACATTAACCCCACTAAACATTTTTGTTTACCTTGTGTTACAAAAATAAATGAGAACAGCAATAAGAAAAGCTTTGAGGCATAAAATTTCAATGCAGTTTTAGAGGGTGCAACCGAAAGAGTTTATCCTTAAGGAAGAGGAGTGTTCAATTGTGATTATTTCAGCAAATATTGAATGAGGGCCTACTATGTGCCAGACACTGTGAATTTAACATAATGCAAGTTACATCTAATTCCTTCCCCCATAGAGAGTTCTGTGTAGTGGGAGAAACAATAAAGAGACAATATAATAGCACCACTATGGGAAAGTTCGGGGTGCAGTAGGGTTTGAAAATGCCTCTGGAGGAAATAAAGGAATCAACTGAAGCCTAAAGGATCAGAAGACCACAGTAAGAAATGAAGCTGAGTTTTCTAATTTCAGGCTTACCCTGGAGATATTTCAGGTTACATCACAATAAAGTCACACAAAAGCTGTAGTTTCCTAGTGCATATAAAAGTTATGTTTACACTATAGTCTATTAAGTGTACAGTAGCATTATGTCTAGAAAATAAACATAATTTTAAAATATTTATTGCTAAAAAATGGTTATGATGATCTGAACTATTGGAAATAATGATACTACTGATAGGTTTACAAAGCTCAGGGTTGCCACAAACCCTCAATTCATAAAAAATGCAGTATCCAAAGTACAATGACATAAAGCACAGTAAAGGTAAGCCTGTAGAAAGAGTAGCATGCACAGAGTCTTAGAAAAAAGGGCATTGTGTGTTCTCATATCAAAAGAATCTTGGTGTTATGGGAACAAAGTAGGGGACAGGGACTTGGGAAAATGATGAAGCTAAAAAGATGAATACTAGGACCCAAACTAGAGGGCTCTTTAAGCCATCTTAGGAATACAGATTTTTATTTTAAGGGCAATGAGATAATAAGAAAGATGGCTGAAGGAAGCGTATGGGGTGACAGGCTGTGGTTGTAGCTCAGTGGTTGAGCGCTTGCCTCGCATGGGTAAGGCACTGGGTTTGATCCTCAGCACCACATAAAAAAATAAATAAAACAAAGATATTTTTTAAAAAAGAAAGAAAGAAAATGTATGGGGTGCTGACTGGATTGGAATCTGGAGGCTTAGATACAAACCAGGAAGCTGTAGCAGTAACCCAGGCAAGAAATGCCAGTGCCCTCAGTGAGGGATTTAGGTGTTAAAGTCTAGAGGACGTGATGTTGATTCGATGGGGATGGTGAAAAATGGTGCCAGGAATGACTTAGGTTTCTGAGGGAGTGATTGGGACCTGGTGAACTCTCAGAAAGAACACGGGAGGAAGAAACAGTTGATGATAAGCCCATCATAGACATAACAAATATGAGGTCCCTGGTTGGAGTGAGATATTAAAAGCTGGGTATTTGTGGCTCTCAAGCTCAAGAAAGAGAGCTGGATTAGAGATGAAGTTTTGGAAAACTTGGTCACCAAAGCCTTCCCTCTTGAATTAATTGATCTTTATTTGATGGACACCCTCTCCCTAAACCCCTATTAGATTAATTGCCTTCCTCTGTAGGCTTTTCAATAATATTATTTTATCATGCTTGCCTGTAACTTTTAAGTTGTTTGTTTCATGGACTAGTATTGCAAAGATTTCTCAGGCACTGAGTATATTATTTTCAGGATAGATTCAGCTTATTATACAAGTAATGTCTAGGCTGATTTTATAGTCCAAAAATTCAATCCCAAATGACCTCTGATACTTGGACTAAATTTTTCTAGTATCAAAAAGTCAAGGGGGTTGGGCTGGGGTTGTAGCTCAGTGGTAGAGTGTTTGTTTGCCTGTGTTAGGTCCTCAACACTACATAAAAATAAATTTTAAAAAATGTTGTGTCCATCTACGACTAAAAAATAAAAATTAAAAAAAAAAGTCAAGGGGTATTTCCCTACGAGAGAAAGTGTTTACTTAGAAACTGTGTATTAACAAAGTCCAGATTCTAAAAGTACTAACATGAATAAATCACTATTCTCTGTTATTGGGAAATTAAGGCAGTTATAAATGCATACCAGTAACTAATATACTATATAACAGAATTGGGCAGTGGAAGGAAGAGGAGAAGACTAAATTCTTAAGGAATTTTTGCAAATGCAGAAAGAGGAAAGATAATTGGAAACAGCAATTCATGTAAGGCTTTATGGAGAATTTTGGATGGGCTCATGGTTCTAGAGGGACACCAAAAAGAAGTTCCTTAGGGTGACCATATGCCCTATTTTAAGAGTTTACAATACATAACTCTGACTTTTTTTTTGCTGGGGGAAAAAAATTTGTTTTTTTTTTTTTTTTTTTTTTAGGGAAACCAGAAACTGGGATTTTGTATGAAATCAATAATTTTCAAAATTTTAAAATGTCAACTCAGATTCTAAGCATTATACAGACCAAATTAATTATTTCCTGGAAGTCTGATGAAATCCACAAGTCAATTTGTGACTTCTATAATATATTCTTAAATGTAAGATATATGATCTTAATTCATCCAGTATTTATTAAGCCAAGCACTGCGGTAGGAGTAACTTAGAAAGAGCATGTTGCCTACCCTTTAGTGAGCTGCGCAGAGTTGGGGAGAAAAAACAGGTAGGCACTGTTTTTACTTTTTTTGGAGGGGAGTTACCAGGGATTGAACTCAGGGGCACTTGACCACTGAGCTACATCCCCAGCCCTATTTTCTATTTTATTTAGAGACAGGGTCTCACTAAGTTGCTTAGCAGCCTCACTTTTGCTGAGACTGGCTTTGAACTCACGATCCTCCTGTCTCAGCCTCCCCAGCTGCTGGGATTGCAGTCATGCGTCACTCTGGTTTGTTTCTACCTTTTTTGTTGTTATTTGTTTATGTGTCATAGTGTTTCTGAACAAATATTTGTTCTTTGATATTTCTACAAAACAAAGCTATTTGTTTTCCTTGACCTCTACAGTTCCGTGGAAGCAACCCAGTCTCATGATCATAAACTCCCTGCCCAACTACTACCCCTTCACCACACAGATATTTGGGGTGAAGGAATTTTTCGTTCTGTGGTCCCTTCTGTGTGCCCTCTGTCAGAGGATCCTCCACATTCTATCATAAATAGGTACCTTTATGGAAGGCCCCCCCACCAGGTCTGCTGAGAATGTTCCCAGGGAAGGGATGAATCACTCACTGTACGAGATGATGTCTCTACAAATATCACGGGGTCTTACCACAGCTAGCCCACCTTCTTCGTTCCTTCACTAGCCCCTGAACATTCCTGAGGAATATTCCTCAACTGTGCTGTGTGGACTCACTTCAGACTCATGGTTTCAACCTCATACTTCCAGCAATGCTCCTGTGTCCTACAGTAGTGCCCACTCCCTAGTACCCTCTCCCC